TATGGTTAAGTTCGGCGGTGGACATATGCGATCTAATATAACATTTTCGTGCTATTTAAGAAGAGTCTCTAGATTTCTAAAGGCATTGATACGTTATTCCCGAGGAATCTCTCTATTTTTCTACTTCTAAAAGTGCATGAACTTGAAACTTGACAATATAGAATTACACTTTCTGATGTTCCTTTGGTTATACTTGATTTTTAACATAAGGTGTTCCACTGATGTGTTTAACGATAGTCTGCCACACTAAGTAAACAAATCTTTTTTATCATCATAATTTACCCCCGTAAAAAAGGTAGCAAAATGTTGACATTGATGTGCACTATGTAGTGTCACAAACAAGATTTAATTGAAATCTTATAATATTACGAGTATGCATGTTAATTAAAAAGGAATACAAAGATGAAACTGTATATGCCATACAACCAGTTTGGAAGGACGAAGGGTTTTTAAAAAATCAACAACAAAAAACCAGGAAACTTAATAGCATAATTTCGTTAACCAAAACATATTTGAAAATGACTGTTATTCATATCTGAAAATCTATAATTAAATCTTATTTACATAGAATGTGCAAATATAAACACTGTTTACATAAAATGTCAATTTATAATTCATATAATAAATCAGATTGCAACAGCATCAGTGGACCACACACAATATAATGTCTATTAAATAACAGGTACGTTAAGTTATCGGGGTCAATTTTAGCTCCTCTTCTTCCAGAGGCACTGCATGGGATAACTAAGGAAATGAACTAAGTTATTAAGGTGGTTTTATTTTGGCGACAAAATATCGGTGAACTTGTCCAATGCGAAGGTTCATGAAACTTACTTCACTGCAGGGTGCTGTAAATCCAAGTGGAATGGAATAACAAACATCCCTCAATTCCAATGGGAGAACCAGACTTTAATCAATGTAAAGTACCTTTCCTTAATTTATCAGACATTATTCATTTTAAAGAAAGTACATTTCCTTAATTTATCAGACTATAATCATTTAAAGTACCTTTCTTTAATTTACTAGACTTTAATCAAGCTTAAGTACTTTTTCTTAATCACTTATCGATAAAAGTTTAGAACTGGATCAGTGCTGCTGGATGCTTGCTATCATGTCTTAAAGTGATGTATTACACAATTAAAACATAATTTATTACAATAAAGAGAAATATGTCTCTGCAAGGTACCTTGAAATAAATAGTTTTCATTATGAAAATATCTGTTTTACATACATAAGGGTATAAATCATATGCAGTTTAGTTTTAGTCTACATTGCTTACTTGGCCAGGGTCAGAAATCATTTCGTTCTACTCTACAACAAAAATGTATATTTTTTAAATAAAAATATATAAATTGTTATCACGTAGCTATCAAACGAACGTTTCTGAATACAACTTAACCATGGAATAGCTGTGAGGTAGCATAAAAAGTAATTATCTTCACCTGAAAAGATAGACAACCTGGGTGAAAAAAAGACAAACAGTATAAACTTACTATACAGAAAAAGGTAGAATATAAAATCTGTATCAGTATAAAAATAAGGCAACAAGATTGCTTGTCTCACGATAAAAATCATTTTGCTCTTTCCAACGTGTGCACACCTGTCTGGTGAATAAATACCAAGGGTTCATTTTTTTCACCTTTGAAACTTTTTTTTTTACTTTTTGATCATTCGGAATGAGCATCAATACAATGTTGTTGTTGTTGTTGTTGTTGTTGTTGTTGCTCAGACATATGTGATTTCTGATTGCTAATGTAAACCTGTACAATGGGATAATTTGTCACTGGAAGGTACAAGACTAGAAATTGTTCAAGCTTTTTTATCCATGTAAATACTAAATATAAGTTGGATCACGTGATCAATAGGGAAAGGAATACAGTCATGTTATCAAAATACTAATACTTCCCTGAAATATTTTGAAATATGATGAAATATACGTATCTTCATATCTCAAAACTTATGCTGAAATGCTCAAGAGTAAATTCAGTTTAGGCAAATATTTCACATATTTTCTAGATATCGATACTTTTTTTCATTTTTAACATTCTATTTGACTTTTTTTTCAAATTAGTATTTGAATTTTGTTTTTCTTTAGAATGTTTTATTTGTTATTGAAATACAAATATTTTTCATAGACATGGTAATTATTTTTTTCCCACAATGCACAAGGACATAGAATAAATCAGAAATACATTGCAGTATCAGTGGTGTATCACTTGTTTGTTTCATGTAAATGTTATTAAAATGTTGCTTTTTTCGTGAAATGAAATTAACATAACTGGAATACAAAATAAAACATCGTTGCATTCACTTCTGTGCAAGTCTGAACACTAATGTGAAAACCTATCAATGACACTTGGATCATAAACATTGTTTAGTCTACCTGTCCAATAAAACCTTTATTGAAGTGAATATTTGTACATCTCCTACATTGAGTCATACACTCTATTTAACTTAAGATTACTACAATCTGTCCCATTCAAAATGAGAAATGAACTTTTACCTGGTATGGATTAAGAAACCGAGGTTGAATGATAAATAATTCATTTTTGTAAACAAAAAAGTCACTCTCGAGATTTTTCTCTAAAGTGTACAGTTTTCTAGTGAAAACAAAATTCGATTTCTAATTTCTAACAATTAATGATATCAAATCACTGCGGGTATTTAACAATTGGATATGGTATAAAGGTGTTTAATTTCTGCCAATTCATGAAATATGAAATCACTGCCGGTATTCAATATGATCAGTATTTAGATATGGTAGGCTTATGCAATTGATCTAAGGTTAACTCATAAAATGTCCGTGTACACATGATCTCTCTGGGCATTTTATTAAATGAGACGGAAAATAAAATCTGTATATTATATACGAATTTAGAGTGTTATAGTGAACATTTGTTTGCTCAGACTTGTTAGAATGATTATATTTTTATTTACACTTTTCTGCGCACTAGTCTATGATCTCTCATTAGCGAGGGAGCTAATAAAAATAGACACTGTGGATATAGGCAAAGCAATGTCGAAAATATAATGAAGCAGTACCGGTTTTTTATATCTTTCTTGCCATATTTGAATTATTATATAGTATGTGTCTGCCATTTCTAACGTCAGTTTTGTTGCACGAATACTTTTATCCCCGAAAAAAGAAGGGTTATATATTGTATCGTATCGGAGCTGAGTGTTTTAATTATTTTTAATAGACTTTATTAGCATTAGCGAATAACGGGTTATTGACCTTTCTGTTGAAAATGTGTCAGGGTTAAATCGTATACATATACATGCACAGTGCGTTAACTGGAGTGCGGGTATTAGTTACCCGCACTCCAGAGCATGCCCATTGATTGGCTCATTTTTGCTGGGGTTTACATATTGTGACGGCAGAGAAAGGGAAAGCGACAGAAATGTCATATTCAGATGTTCGTTCATTGGTTCATTTTTGCCGGGGTTTCATATTGTGACAGCAGGGAACGTGATTTTATGTTTGACTATGATACAAAAGAGAAAGAACACCAAAACACTCGGCAATCTGATTAATACTCGGGGGCTACGCCCCCCTCGTACAAATCAGATAGCCTCGTGTTTCGGTGCTCTTTCTATTACTTGTATTGACATTTTTAAATGTACATGTTCGTCGATTACCGAACATAACTTCATTCCTTTTACATTTACTATTCATAATTGCATGATATATTTATGACGCTGTTAAGTTTACTTGTATGCGCAGGGAAGTCGTAAAAGAATATTTTTTAGTCTTCTGGTGTTCCCGTTCCCATACGACACGTTGCGATATTAAAGTGAAAGATATCTAATCAAAGCAGTGCTCCTTTTCTCTTAAGAATGAACATAAAAAAAGACAGAATATCATCATAATGATATAAATCTGATGTCTGTAAGAATTTATAAAGATGTTCTTCACTTCACTTTAATTGGCGATTATTTCAAAACACAATGATTAGAAAGTGAAAATGCCATTGTGACATCAACTTTGGTCTCATTTTTCATCTTAATGATAACATTTAAATATTGGGCAGTAACTAAATACAAAATTAATTATCATTTTTATAATTACCTTGAAAATATAACGCTAATTGTGAGCCGAATCCTAAATGACAGCAAATTTTTGGTTTAAATCAAGCAGCAATTTTTAGAGAAATCTATACCCACGACATAAACAATTATGCTTTCAACATATTTCAACCTTAAAATTAAGCATTAAAATTTAATATTTAGAGAAATTTATACCAAGAACATGAGCGGTAACATTCAACATATTTTAAGCTTTAAATTGAGCAGTAATGTTGAGAGAATTCTATACCGACAATATATAAGCAGTTATGCTTTTACAAATCCATTACATAAATAAAAGATAAACATTTAAAGAAACAAATCACGGCAATATCAGCATTAATAATCAACAGATCTAAATCTTTAAATTGAGCAGCAATGTTTCGAGAAATCTATACCCATAACATCAGCAGTAATATTGCAAGGAATTCTTACTTATAGAATGTATAAAAGACTATAATAATACATGTGATGTTAAATTACATCCAGCCTACACGATCAATTAGTTTAATAATATCGCCATTATTTTAATATGAAATACAGTTGAACATTTCATTGTAAAGAAACAGTTCAAAGTGCAGATAGAAGGGTGATTTATAACTGATTGATCTAAACATATAGCTTAAGGAAAAACAGTTTAAAACACTTGAGACTCTTTCGTGACCGAGTACATTGAAAGGAGTCAACGTTTACCATTATACAACTTAAAATGTAAACACTATTGAATTAAAACATGTTATTTTAAGGCTAGCACGTTTTACTTGTAGTATTTTCAACAAATACATTCATTCTTATCCACACAATAATCTCACATTTACCTTGATGTGTAATGTTTACCTTTTTAGTATAGCCTTTAAACTAGGACACAGCTTAAGATACTATACCCAATATTATAGGTCAACAATTTGAACAAATTGAAATGTTTAAATACAAACCTGACACTGAAAAACCGCATACCATCTGTAAAACTGTCCAGGTGAAAAGTCTAAAATAATTGTCCATATTGCACCATATAATGCATACAACTTTCTCAATTTAGTTGACAAAGTGAAATATCCATCTATATTCCTTTATCTATTTAGTGCGCTTTATCACTGAATAATACAAAACTTTTACAGTGCATATTTTACAATTTAATTCTAAAATAGTTCATAATGCAACATACACTTTTAACAAGCTATTGATTTAGTCGGCACGGTTTTATCCATCAACCATCAATATTCCTATGATGTATTTAAACTCGTTTTATCAACGAAAAAATCAAACAGTGCCCCACTAACAATTATCTTGTTTAAGCGTTGTTTGCTGTTTAACTTGTGTCGCACAGGTGCAATTAGAGATACCCCGTTCCCCTTTAACGCTCGCTTGGTTGGTTTGTGCGTTGTTACCCTTAGTTTATGCGTTGTTACTCGGCTGTTGAAATAATGACATTTATAACGTTTAGTTTACTGCGTTTTATTTTGAGTAGAAGCTCATTTACACTTCAGAAGCTTTTGAACATTTAAATGAAGATTTCTTATGAGAGAAAACTTTGATATATGGGATGTTTATTAAAGTTTATATACTATCATTTATTGCATACTTCATTAAAAGTTATCGTTAACTAACGTCTTTCTCATCTGGTAGAAAGATGACTACAAATGCTACAGATGTCTATAAAAGGTCTTCATGAAGCCGCACAGGAAATATTAAATATTCAAATATCTAGAACCTAATCATTAAATATCAAAAATCATGTCGAACAGTTCTAAGTTGCTTAAGATGTAGAAATGCATTTTAAAAAGACATTTCAACGTTTTGACAATTACAATAAAATGTATAATTACACTAAATGTTTTGAATAAAACTAATCTGTATTTTGAATATTAGTGGTCATAATAATCTTCCTTAAACAAATTTTGAGCTGTAACAAAAGGAAATAGACCAATGCATGTTTCATCTGTACTTAAGGACTGCATCTTTTTCATCATTGTATGGTTTGTAGTTAAGCATGATTAATACCTATACCGAAGATTAAATTGTTTGTGCCAAAGGTTGTGGCATAAAGTCGCTCTGTGGTAACATATTATGCTTTTACTGTAATCCTAGAAATGTTCGCGGATACAATATTTCGCCTTTTTCACAACGTCCGCATTTTCGCGGAGACAAACTTTCGCGGATTTGTCGTAACCGCGCATTCCGCGAATATTAAGTCGCTACGGTCTAAATTACAGTTTTTGGAGGCTACGTTTTTGATGTATGACCTTGCCTGTTTGGTACTTTAATTCTTTATTTTTTTAAAAAGTCGCGCCTTAAGCGCTACGTTAGTCGATACTGTTTCATCTATTGACTAGTCGAACACAGACGGTTGTTCCGTGAACACTTTTAACTTATACTTACCTTTTTCACTATGTGGTTAAGTTAGACGTTAGCTTTTATTCTCATATGAATCATAACTGACTTTATCTTCAAAATATCGATACGTAATTTCTGACACAGTTACGGACTGTATCATTTTCAGACCTCATTGGCACCTCGGAACATTATCAAAGCGTGAACGAGCATCTGAGAAGAAACAACCAACTGACCGTAAGCTATTCATAAAAAAACCTTTCTCTCATCCTGGCAGCTTTTTAACTAACAAAAAGTAGGACCAACGAATACGAAGTCAACAGTTCAGCAACATGCAGTGATTTAACGGGCAACATGCAGTGATTTAACGGAAAGTTTCCTTATTCCAGGTCTAAATCGCCACGTTGGTAAAGGTTTTTTTTTCTTCTAAATTTGACTTATTTTAATTATCGTGATAAATACAGCACAACAAGGAACAATTTAAGCTTTAAATATTTGCCCCTCTCTTGTCAAGTCAATAATGATAGTTCTTGTATGATGTAAACATCCCCTTTCGATAGTCAAGAACAAAATGTAGCCATTCTATCTAGCTAGCGTTTCTTATGTAATGATTTGTAGTTGCAATTATAGAAAAGGAAACATTAGAAATGTAAAGAAAGTTTTCATAAATCACAATGAATCGTACCTATCCCTTTTCTTCAGCTCACTTAACTCCGTCTAGGTCTGATGAGCACTGTTGGTTTGATCAATTTTAATCTTCTTGTTTGATCGCAATTGCGGTACACTTGCGATTGCATTAATAAACAAATTAGATTAGAATCTCCTTATTAATTGGTTAACCACTTTGATACAGTAGAGTAGCTTTCTATTTTATATATCATATTGTACGGTGGAATAAATGAGGGATAAAACTAGATCATCTTGATAGCACTTGACAACTGACATTTTGCAGAACTGCATTTTAAATAATTTTCGTGAAGAATAAGTGGGATTGATTAATATAAAAGTGTCTTACATAGAGCGATATTCTAATCCGGCCTTGTTTTGGAGAAACATTCAAGTGTCAGTTTTGTTAAATAACAGAACATAAGAAAAGAAAAATGAAATCGTTTTAAGATAAAACAAAACAAAACACCCGGATTGACATAAGACTAAAAGTAATGGTGGTTTTGCCGTCTTTTCTCAAGTGAAAGTAGGTATAAATGAAATGAGTGTCATGAAATAAAAAAGCAAAATCAACATAAGTGAGTCACAGTCTTGTTACAAAGAAATATCTTGGTATATTGGATTCGTCGATGCAAGAAAGTTATTAGGTTAGCTTTTGGAACGAGCGTGCACCTAAGTAGAAGCACCGACGTTCCAAAGGCTAACTGAATAGCTTCCTCACATCAACGAATCCAATATTTTATCCAGCAATTTTATCGTTATTGTATGTCTACATCGTCATCATATAGCAAGGGAGCTAACACACTGGGAATTGATGTATGGGAAAACAATACCCTTTAACTCCCTTTCTAACTCCCCTATCCTAATCAGAGCTAAATTAAAATGAAAGATACGGTCAATTTTCAATTTGTTTCCTTTTTGTAAACTATTTTTATTTGTTTCCTCATGTATGAAACCAGAACTAGCTCGAATGTTAAAAGTTTACTTAAAAATTGATTGGACAAGGTATAAACAACGTGTATAAGGAAATAGCCTTTGGCAATTAAGCATTGCGGAAATATGGAAAATTAACCTATATACAAGATTAAAGCAATTGTTTATTTTATTACAGTGATAAAAGTAAAACTATTTCAAAAAGTGAATAAGCGTATTTGATTAGATATAACGGAACACAACTAAAATACACTTTATAGAATCAATGGACAAACGAAGGTTTGCAAACTTATGTTTTCCAACTCTCAGTTATAGTTATAGTGAAAGCTTCCCATGAGATAGTGTGATTAATATTTACTCGCGCAAGTTATTTTGATTTATTACATTATCATTACTTTGTTCATAAAAGTGACAAAAAATACTGTACTATATTAATTATATGAATTTGCCAAGTGACAAAAAAGTATGATTGATTTGTATTATACTTATTATTTGTATTGATCATATTAAGAACTCAGAACTTTAAGATACACAACATTATTCGCATGATTCTATCTCTTATAAAGAGACGAATGTATCTAATTAGTACGTACTATATTCATTTGCTCCAAACTCCAATTTGTAGTTAAACGTTTTAGAGTTTATATACGCCAATAGCTTGAATAGTTTCGGCAAACTTTGTATCATAAGAAAAGTAACTATAATAAACATTTTAGAAAATTTATGGTCATCAGCTTTGTAAACTAAGAAAACCAAAATCAACAAGGCACATGGGCGAAAGTGCAGCCCCCGGCATAATACAGCTGCCTAGGACCACCACCAGAAGGTTAAAAGGGTGGGCATAGACGGGGACACTGGTACATAAGGAGTGACGAAGTTTCTATCATAATGGTCCATATTAAGTCCTTGCACATTCGTCACAGCTTACTGTAACCCAATTTATATTCGCGAATACAAATTTTCGCGTTTTGCCGAGGTCGGATATATTCGCGAATATTAATTTCCGCGTTTTCTTGATTTCCGAAAAAAAAATTCGCGGATTGGAAAGTCCGATGGGGTCGTATAATCCATTAGCCGACTATTAATAAATTGAGGTCATTATTGGTGTCTTAAATGGGATTAACAATACGCTAGCCTTATATTGTATTGGTAAGTGAATTGTGATCACAAATAAGCACAACATTTTCTCGGCTGGAAAAAAGCTGGACTTCTAAAATAATGTTTCTTGATAATTAGTATACCACAAAGCATAAATTCAAGCAGAGATTTCTGAAGGCAACTCTAATATAGGCCACAGTTCAATATTTTGTTGGGGAATATTTAATATGACTTATTCAAGTGACAATGTTAGCTAAATTTTTCTCTAAGTACGACCAAAAGAATAAAAATCCAACATTATTTCTCAGTTCATTCTAATTGTGCATACTTTCCATAAAGACTTTTAAAGCGTCATAGCCAAAGATATCGCCTGATGAAACAACGGTAATCATTATTTACCTTTCTAAACACAAAACCAAACATATAAAAGTTTACTTAACATGTACCATACATTTTTTCATACTTCACAATAAAATTGTTTTAACATATATGTTGTAAAAAAATGCGGTTTAGTTTTTGATGCAAAACGTATCTATGACTGAAACATTTTTATAAGGATAAAAAGCTTTCTAAAATACATCTAGTGAGTTCTTCTTAACTTATGAGTATTTGTGTCTGCATACATTGAAAAAAAATCTGTTTTTATGAAAAAATTAAACACGAAATACGGTTTAAAAAGAACATAGTCTCATTAATAAATATGTATACGGTGTATAAGAGGAAAAAACATTGTATAGCGTCATGTAAAAGTACATTTTACTCCATTTATTATCATTCCCGAAAACTTATTGTCTGTACCGAATATACACATAATTATATAGGCTGAAAGTTGAGTTGTCATGACTTGTGTTGCTCGAAGAAATATTGATTTATTAACACAAAAAGTTATGAAAAAATCTAACACCATCCGGGCATCCAATGACCACCATGGTATTTGGGGTTAGATTTGTCGTCGTTCTTTGGAGAGTTTGGTTTTACATATGCTTTTCTGTACTCATCTAGTTTAGCCTTGAGTTTTATGACAACATCTGGGAGTTCTTTAGAGAGGTCATTGTGTTCTGTTGGGTCGTCTTTCAAATTATACAGACCATCTCCAGACCATGTACTATTCAACCGATCTAGATCTTTGTAACCTATAGTGACATAATCATTTTGTTGTACTGATACGTCTCTGCTGCCTTTGCCTTTACTTTCTTGTGCCGGTTTGTACCAGCCCTGATAAGGACCAGGATATCCGGATATCAGCTTAAAATCGCCCACTCTTATGGCCGCATGGCCATTTATTGAAAGCAATGACTCATCTAAGTTATATACAAACTCATTCCTAGCCGATTCAGTGCCATGGCTAATTGCTTGCCATTGATCTAGTCCATCAATACTTTCATCTATGTTATCATCAGAGCTACCAGCGGCTGAAAGAATGGTCGGATGCCAGTCAACGGCGTGTATTATTCCTTCGTATGTAGACCCTTTCTTCTTGATTCCAGACCCTGAGACAAATGCTGCAGCTCTCGTCCCCCCTTCAAATATAGTTATTTTACCACCTCTCAAAGGATAATTGTTACCACCATGGTCAGTCCAGCCACCGTTGTCAGATGTAAATATGAATAACGTGTCCTCTATTAGTCCATTGTCAGTTAAAGCTTGAGTCACATTACCAATAGCTTCATCCATAGCCGACACCATACCTGAGAACTTTCTTCTATCATCATTGACAATATGTTTGTACATGTCCTCAAACCGTTTAGGTACTTCTATTGGTTCATGTACTGACTGGAATGGAAGGTATAGGAACAATGGTTTGGTCTCATTGTGGTTACTTATAATATGCTTTGCTCGCTCTGCATAAACATAAGCTGAATATCGATTGTCTGCTGGTATAGCCTTTATACCGTCATTGAAGTCAATACCATTTAGTGTTGTTTTGTTGTAATAATCCTCCTTTCCATTGTAGTATCCTAAAAACGAGTCAAACCCACGTCTTGTAGGCGTGCATTCCAAATTGCAGAATCCCAGATGCCACTTGCCAATCATGTGTGTGGAGTATCCAAGTTTCTGTAACTTCTCAGGAAAGAATTGCATTGAGAGAGGGGAGCATACTGGTTGCTCTGCCGTTATTACATGCTGTAATCCGGCTTTAAATGGATAAACGCCAGTCATAAAAGAGTGGCGAGAGGGCGTACATACTGACTGTACATATGAAATATTCAGTATAACCCCTTGTCTGGCAAGCTTGTCAATATTTGGAGTTTTCATGTCTGGATTGTGGAAACCAACGTCATTCCAGCCGAGATCGTCCGCTACAATAAACACAATGTGTCTGGGTTGCTTTTGTCCAGACGACTCACGCATCATCATTACCATAAGTACCACGACCGACGAAAACCTGATATACATCGTTGTAGCTCTGTAATTAATAACGAAAAAAATATAGTTACATCAAAATAACACAAAACTTTAAAATGGTTGGTATTGCGCCTTTTTAGTATATTGTTTTAGTATATTCCTTGAGGTTACATGTTAACGTAGTAGTTCCTGCTCAGATAGTCATTATATGTTTTTCTAACCGCTGACGTCACATATCTATGTACGGTATGATATTGTAATATATTATTCAAAGACCTTTTTACAATACGATATTTTTATAGAAACGGACGTAGCATTTCGAACAAGCGCATTATGAGTATGGCAAGAAAGCAATAACGAAATAATACATTTCATCAATATTCAACAACACTTTAACAATTTTATGTAATCTAAATGATTAATTAGTTGTAATAATAATTTATTCATAGACAAATAACCGATGCAACGGTGAATTTAAACTACTTGACTTGATTATTTCTGCATTTACACATCCATGGTCTTCCAAATTTGAAAGATTTTGACTGAAAACCTAAATCATGTACATCTTTGGGCAAAATTCTATTTTTATTCTCATACTTAAATGCCTTGTGAAATGTGACTTTAAGATATGTCATCCGGAAAACACTAATGTTGGCATGCCTTAAAGCGGTTTGTACATTAAACATGATTTGATATTGATGGCTGATATAAGAAAATAAGAATGAATAACAATACAATGATCTAAAAGCGCATACTAAAGTCGTCTGTTCAAAGTGTAATTAGACGACTTTCTCATAGAACAAAAGTGTTTAAGATAAAATTTTATTTCCCATGTTTTACGGAATATTGCACAATTGGTTCTTTACACTTTATTTGACTAAGAGGATTAGCAAGGTGGTAGTGTCAAACAGATGGACACGTGTCGGTTGTCATTTGTTAAGCTTTGGTTTTTTTGTTGACGTATGTTTGTTGTTGTTGTTGCATTTTGGTTGTGGTTTTTGGTTTTTGTTTTCTATTTTGGTATTTTGTTGTTGTTGTTGTTTTTTTGTTGTTGCTGTTTTTAGGTGTTTTTTTACTAACTCGGCATTGTCTATGGACTCTTTATTGCATTTCTACGAAGGGCGATGATCTTTTGCCCTACGCAGTTAGAGCGTACGTGAGAAAATACTACATCCAGTCGATGTTTCATAGCAACGGACCGCGTTTTAAAAGGTCTATAATACTATAATGCATGTTTATAACCGCCGATGTTGCACGTTTCCATAAACATAACTGTTAGATTATTGCGCATCAAAACTTTTTTCTACATACGACATATCAATCAAGAATCGTATAATTTTTTTGCAGGAGTCACACTAATGCCTCTTTTCGTCTGCAAAAGCTCTCGGACTTAGTAAACGACTCGCCATATTGGGCTCGGGCTTTAAATGAGTATACGAGCTTCTGCAGATGATAATGCTCAAAAAGGTGCATTATGTAACATAGATTTAAAGGGCATTTACTATTTTACATTAACATAATAATACACAAAGTAAAAATAGTTTGGTCAAATGAACCAATTTCTGTTAGTTTCAGCGTTATTTCATATGCATTTAATTTTTAATATATAAATGTAGTTATATTTCTTCAAACATAAACAATACTTACCAAATTCACAGAGCCTGTTTTTATGTCACATTATACTTCAATTATAACTTTATTTATAGTTTCAATGTAAACAGTTAAAAACCGGGATGTTTATTTATAGAATTGTTTCTGTACGTATGTGATAACCTCATCATTGTACCTGATAATAATAGGTATAAAATACCAATGGAAACAGATAATGTAAATTATAAAATAAAGAAAACCTGATCACGCTCACGTGATTGATAAAGATATAACAAAATATCATTATTCTCTTTACGTATCAAATTAATAAAAAATTTAAATTAATCAATATAAAGAAGTACAGATGGACTGGTTAACTCGTCACATTTCGAACTAAAAAATTGTTTTCGCTCCGTTACTCTTTGCTACGAAGATTTGACTACATTGCGTGTTGGGTTGCCTCAAATTGACCTTTACGCCATGAATATTAATGAGCAAACACACATTTCATTGTCAAATAAGAAACTCCATTTCAAATCAAGTTCGTTTAATCATACAAAATGACAGCGTCATTATTGTTCGACAAGTTAACTTTAAAAACACTTGAAAAAAATAACCTTAAAGAGCTGAAACATGAGCAAAAAGATATTTTAAAGGCTTCATAGGAAGGCGGAGACCGTTTTGCTGTCCTTCCGAAAGGTTTTGGTAAATCGTTGCACTATCAAATTGTTTCAACTAAGCGCAAGTTATCTAGCGAAACTGAAAGGAAAACAGTGGTGGTGTGCACGCGATTATTATTGCTGATGCAGGACTAAGTTCAACGACTTAGGTTGATTCTTGACATCAGTACACTGTACTTAGGTATGAAAATTATGTTAAGACATGTAAATGAAATGCGTTTATTACATGTCTCTTATAATTACGATAACTATAAAATGAATTTAGTAGGGAAATATAGTTATGGGTTAACCTTATGTTTATTATATATTTATTTGTGTATGCATGCATTGATATGTTGATTTTACAAAATTTTGTTAACAATTTCGAAACATAATATTGATTTAACAATGGACAAAAGATCCCCAATTAGAGCGAACAAGTCATCTAACATGCATTTTGTACACAGTGTATGTGCATTGCTGAATATACATGTTGGGAAAGGTGCTTTAAAGTTTCTATCGTGCTCGTTTTATGCATTCCGTTTTTTTCTGACTACCACGAGTTCGAGTCATATGAAGGTCTTTGAATTATTTCAAGTGAGGAATATATGGAGCTGCCTAGGAAGATTAAAAGTTGCTTAGATGCTACACAAATATCATCGTGCTAAATAATGTTTTTCTTGTGTTATATTCATGTAAATATATTTGATGTACCACTGTTCAAGAAGCACCACTTCAAAGTTGTGACAGGTTATTTGATCATTTATATAAGAAAAAACTCAAACTCCACGTATGAGGTAGTTTTTCAGCATTTTTAAATTTCTTAAAGTTATCAAACTATCGCATATTTTTTTCCTAATTTAAGCCAAAGGCTTTTCCCAAAAAAGATGGAAAAGGCCCTGTTTAATAAACCCTAATAACTTTTATTTGGTTTACAAATACAAAACAAGGCTTTAAGTCATCTTATTAGTAATGCTTTACTACCTAAAGCATAAATGAAAACCCTTTCAAATGTCTTAAACTAATAAATATTAAAAAATCACAGGAAGAACTAACGTTTTTTCTTATGGGTTGGGAAATGTTCTGGGTGGGTCATGTTCTAAGAATATTTCATCATAGACCCTAAAGTCATAGGATGAAATGGTGAAATATACTTAGTATGATTAGTGTATAGACTTATATTATATGACACTCATACAACCAAGTATTTCTGTGTAAGATGTCCATGGATTTGGTCTGTGAAACTTTTACTATCTGGTCACTCACTTAAAAGTATATTCAATGTAAAATATTACAAAAATTAGTATTTTTTTACTGAATTTAAGTATTTCATTTCAGTTATAATTTAAATCTTAAAATGTATCATTTTAGGTGAAACTTCATAGGCAGACATAGAAATACATCATAGTAAATTTGACTATAAGTTTGGTTCCTCAGAGCTGTTGGTTAGAATTTGTCAGCTGCGAGAAGTTCTGAAAACTTTCACAGTGAGCTACATAGTAGTTGATGAATGTCATACTGTAATTTCATGGTAAAGAATTTCTATACAGCACAGTTTAATCAGATTTTGTATTGTCATGAACAACAAGTTGTGTGACGATTTTAACTTTACTGTTAACATAATATTGAATTGTTAAATGAAGTTGATCTGAGCTTCCTCCTTTTCGGACTGTTCAATATCTAGTTTGAGTGTATGTTGTATTTCAAAGTTGGCAACCCAATATTAGAGAGCCTGGTCATTCTGCGCATATGTACATACTTGCCTAGCTCTATATTGGTGTCAATGACTAAACAATTTAGTCTCAGCAGGATAAGAGTTAGTTCATGCAGAATTTATTTCAGTTCGATTATATAGGAAGCTAAAATCAGTTAGACACACACTCGGATACGTTCCTGGTACCAGCCAGTACCTAGCAAAAGCGTAAATTTTCTTGCTTAAGGAAACGGTTTGACATTATTTGAACTCACACTGCTTCATACCCTTAGATAACTAATTTGACTTGTTAAGAATTCGGCAAGAATTCCAGTTGAATAAATCTAAAATATGTATTTTCGTAATGAAGAATGTGTTATTCATATATTAATGTCTAGGGCTATATAACATATGTATTTAAATACCAGCAAATGACTGATAAACTTCCAAGTTTATAAAAGAAAATTAGTAAAATACATTCAGAGGAGAAGTAATGATATATGATATGACATGGAAACAACCTTAATTATGTATGAAATCTTGTATATTACACAAAATCGCCGCTTTTGAGTTTACTTTGAAATACTGATTGTGAATGATGTATGATACAAGATACCAAATAATTATTGTATTTTTATTATATATTGACTTATTATGATGTCTGGGTGTATATAATCATTTGCAATTTCTTATTTACAGGGGTGAAGAAGATAAAGGTAAGGTAAGGGTAACACGTTTGAGGTAAAATAAAACAAGACATCCGGATGGACATGATACTAAAAAGAATAAAATAATAGTTTTGTTGTCTGTCCTCTCGTGAAATCTGGTATAAATGAAACTTTGTCTTAACCCTTTCCCTCATGAGCATATTGTGAAAAATGGCCGTTTTCAGTGAAAAGCCTCCTGTTACAAGTTCAAACTGCTATGAAACTATGAAAAATGCTTCAATACTAATCAAACTTGGCACAAATGTTGACTGGACCATTGCCTTTGTAACGACATGCTCAGTCTTAAATTTCCTGTTACCATGGCAACGAGGGGACATCTCAAAATTGCCAAAAATCACTATTTTGCCTCGATTTTTTCCATCAAAATTTATTTCAAAGTGCTGCAACTTCTCAAGGGATTGAGATAGAGTCAAAGGCTTTTCAGCGTTGGTTACACGTTACCTTATGATCGACCTGGGGTTATTTTCAGCCTCTCACAAGTCCAAACTTTTCTTGGCGATGACGGGGGACTCCGCCCCCCTTCAAACCCCCCAAACAGAAGGGGGCACATCCCCCTTCTGGCAACCCCCTGATGTATCTTTTGGATGGGGGGCGGCGCCGAAAATGTGCTCACTTTTTTAGCAACATTTCTCAAATGAAAACATGTGTTTGGGCCCAAATAGGACATGTTTTCAATATTTCAGGCCAAAAAGAATTCGAAAGTGCGTTGTTTCGCGTATATATGAGGTAAGGGGTTAAATAATCTGTCCAAGTGTCATGGGATAAAAAGCCAGAAACAACGTAAGTGAGTAATGACATTACCACACTCTTGTTACAAAGGCAGACCCTTTTCAAAATCAGTAAGATGGGTATCTATATATTAGGCTAGATCTACTGTCTAATACAAGATGGTTTGATCTTTTCTGAAAAACATGTCACCAAACAATACAAAATACACAGATTGATACATTTACATTAAACTATATGATTATTGTGTATCTATTTTACCCATACATAATAAAGCTGTTCAATTTAATAAGATGTTATTGTATTTATCCCTACAAATAAACAATATAGATTCAAACATGAAAATAAACATATACAAATGTATTAATAGAAAAGAATGAAAAAGAGATTGAGAAAGACAATAAAAGAAAGACTTGTTTATCTACTAGTTTCCGACCAACACTCCAACGTTAACGAGCATTAAATTAACGTTTAAAATCCGTTGAACAGTTTATTTTCATCTTCGTCAGTACTATTTAATAATTTACTTTATTTATTTATTTATTTATTTATATACTCTTTTCAGCGGTGAGGGACAAGTGGTTTGAAGTCAACGGCCATGAATAAAGATTGATAAAACATTATAAATATTGTGGTATATAATTCTATGTAAGAATATGAGGAATCAGATACTTTACTTGAATGTATTATCTTAGGAACAGCATACAAAAATAACGTTTGAAATCCACTAATAATGGATAATGAATCAGAAGGTACCATTTGACAGTTAAATATAGCGCAAAAATAATACTGTATCTGTATGGCAAACATATTCATGTAACCAATATATGGGCTGAAGGGAACTCCACCGAAGCCAAAAAGCCTAGATTTATTGTATCATTATTTTGATGTAGTCAAAATATACGATTCTAAATTAGAATAAATGAAATACTGCTACTAAAGTCTGTGAAAATCTAATACAGTCATTTTGTTCTTTGACAGTACCACCTGACAAGCGCGGGTTTGTTTGTTTCATAACACTAAGAATCTTCCCAAAGTACGAGTTAACATTGAAATGACCATTCAGGCCTTGATAGTGTAAGTGTAGATATGGTTTAAGCTGTATAAATCAACTGAACATTTGTATGTTTCTTGATAATAAGTACACCAAAAAAACTTTAATTCAAGAGATGTCTGAAGGCAACCCTAATAAAGATCGCTGTAAAATATTTTGTAAGGGAACATTTATACTGTGTTTACTTGTTCGTATGACACCTTTTGCTAATTATTCCTCCAAGTACGACCATAAATATGAATATAAAAAATAACATCCTTTGCCAGTTCATGATAGTTGTGTATACTTTACATTAAAGAAAATCAGAGGTTTTTTGAAATATGATAAACAAGATCAACAAGGAAAGGCGACGTTCAATGAACGCAACCCCCAAACGACCTAGCAACAAAAGCCAGTGGCACGGAGCCCTGGAGGACCCTATACAAAAATAGGACAGTGCGCAAGGCACGGACAAACAAGCCACACATGTTTCCAGATAAAACAGCCATATCCACTATAGACCTTTCTAAACACAACACGAAACATCTTTGCGTTTCCTTTACGTGTACCGTATATTTTAGATACTTCAAAATATAAAAGTATTAACATGCATGTAGCAGAAATGCAGTTTATTTTTCAGATTCACTACAAAACGTATATATGACTGAGACAGTTTTTATATGAATACAGAACCTTTCTACAATACATCTAGTGAGTTCTTTTCAACTTACGAGTATTTGCGTCTTCATACATTGGAAAAAAATATATTTTTATCACAAAGTTAAAAACGAAAAATGGTTTTAAAGGTTTTATCTAACCAGTATATAATATGTACATTCATTGTTTTATGTAATTGTTTAATGTATACGATGTACAATATATTGTCATGTTCAGGTACATTTCATTTCATTATTACTACTTCGACCAACTCAATTATTGTCCGTAACGAATATTTATATGCGGAAAGTTGGGTTGTCATGACTTGTGTTGCTCGTAATAATATTGATTTATAATAAACAGAAAGTTAAGAAAAATGTTTACAAAGATCTAAATATAGCACAGAAGTAAACATCTAACACCATCCGGGCATCCAATGACCACCATGGTATTTTGGATCAGCTTTATCATCATTCTTTGGATCATTTGGTTTGACATATGCTTTTCTGTACTCATCTAGTTTAGCTTTGAGGTTAATAACAACATCTGGGTGTTCTTTAGAGAGGTCATGGTGCTCTGTTGGGTCATCCTTCAAATTGTACAGACCATCCCCAGACCATGTACTATTAAATCCAGCAGACGCGCCTTTTAATTCTTGTTCCGGTTTGTACCAGCCCTGATAAGGTCCCGGATATCCGGATATAAGCTTGAAATCACCTACTCGTATGGCAGCATGACCAGTTGTTGGATCGATTGAGTCATCTAAGTTATAAACGAACTCATTTCTAGCCGATTTAGCGCCTGTGCTAATCGCATTCCATTGATCTAATCCATCAATACTGTCATCTATGTTATCAACATAGCTACCAGCGGCTGAAAGAATTGTCGGATGCCAGTCAACGGCGTGTATTAGTCCTTCATATGTAGATCCATTTTTCTCGATTCCAGACCCAGAGACAAATGATGCGGCTCTTGTTCCCCCTTCAAATATAGTTATTTTACCACCTCTCAAAGGGTAATTGTTACCACCGCGGATAGGCCAGCCACTGTTGTCAGACGTAAATATGAATAACGTGTCCTCTATCAGTCCATTGTCAGTTAAAGCTTGTGTCACATTACCAATAGCTTCATCCATAGCCGACACCATGCCTGAGAACTTTCTTCTGTTATCATTGACGATATGTTGGTACATGTCTTCAAATCGTTTAGGTACTTCAATCGGTGCATGTACTGACTGGAATGGAAGGTATAGGAACAATGGTTTGGTCTCATTGTGGTTAATTATAATCTGCTTTGCTCGCTCTGCATAAATGTAAGTTGAATATCTATTGTCTGCTGGTATAGCTTTTATACCGTCGTTGAAGTCAATACCATTATTTCTGGTCTTATTGTAATAATCCTCCATACCACTGTAGAATCCTAAAAACGAGTCAAACCCACGTCTTGTAGGTGTGCATTCCAAATTGCAGAATCCCAGATGCCACTTGCCAATCATGTGTGTGGAGTACCCAAGTTTCTGTAGCTTCTCAGGAAAAAATTGCATTGAGAGAGGGGAGCATACTGGTTGCCCTGGCGATATAGTCCCGTGCTGTAATCCGGCTTTAAATGGATAAACGCCAGACATAAAAGAGTGACGAGAGGGTGTACATACTGGTTGTACGTATGAACTATTCAGTATTACCCCTTGTCTAGCAAGCTTGTCAATATTTGGAGATATTATATCTGGATTGTGGAAACCAACGTCATTCCAGCCGAGATCGTCAGCTACAATAAACACAATATGTCTGGGTTTCTGCTGTCCTGACGACTCACGCAGCATCATTATCATAAGTACCGCGATCGACGAAAACTTGATACTAGTATACATCGCTGCAGCTTTCTCTGTAATAAATGACGGACAAAATATAGCTATCATATCAAATAACTTTATATTATTAATAATAACACAAAACTTTAAGTAAATTGCATTGAAAATTTTTGTATTTTGACTATTGCGCATTTTGTTATATATTCCACGAATGTATACGCCATCATAATAGTTCCCGCTATATTTTGTCGGACTTCTGACTTCATATTGAGTTTTTATTATTTAAAGGACCGTTATCACTAAGCCATTTTTACCATACGATAACAAGTTTGAAGGGGGAACACGATTGACTCGTAAATTATAGGCTGTGTATGCAAAATCTATGGAAAAAACTTTCTATTCTCAAGTTATGTCACTTGGAAAACAGTAATTTTGGAATGACTTAAAGCGGTATGTGAAACGCGATTTGATAATTATAACAGATATAAGAAAACATACGGGACTCACAATCAATTCAATGATCCAATCGCCCATATCAGAGTTCTTTGTTCAAAAAATACTTAAAGAGCACTTCAGCTTTTGTTTCGTTTTCTGTTGGAAAAACAAAATATGTGTTGTTTCAAACTAAGTATTTTAGTAATTTTATTTTGAAAAGTGCGTCATGTCACTGTTAATCCTTCTTCAAAGCAAGGTTCCGAAAGCTATATAGTACGTGTCACATGACATTCGTACCGGTGAACAAACATCCGCATTACTAGTTTATATAGAAAGGGCGGACCGGAAGATTAGAGGTATGGTGGAGGTACCTTATTGTTTATGTATTCCATCGTCGGCAAAATTCATTTGGGTTTGCGACCAGCATGGATCCAGACCAGCCTGCGCATCCGCGCAGTCTGATCAGGATCCATGATGTTCGCTATCAGTTTCTCTACTTGTTATAGGGTTTGTAAGCGAACAGCATGGATCCTGATCAGACTGCGCGAATGCGCAGGCTGGTCTGGATCCATGCTGGTCGCAAACCCATTATGTTGGGTTTGTCGTGATGCGGCTCATTTGATATCTTAATTCTTTTGATTTAACAATAAAACAAAACGATTCATCTAAACATAACACATTAAACCTTTAGAAAAACTGATGGCCGCTTTGAACTTATTTGTTTGACTTTTAAATTTTCTGTTTGGCATCACAGTCTAATTGGATAAAGGATAATATCAGGTACACTGAAAACTAATAACATGTTCATGAACATGCATTATCACATGTTCTGATCTTTTTTCAGAATTAAAATTTACTTCGATTTCATATGCTATCTAAATCTCTTTAGTTATTTATATGAACTATTTCACGAACAATTGAGTAGAATTCTTTTCTTACTAAAAAATATATTTCCATATTTTAGCAACAATATCTGAATGATTTTCAAGTTTAACGTTGTCGCAATAGGGAATTCTTAAAATAATCATCTTAACATGGCAATGTTGATCACAAAGCTATAAAGGCATATCTGGCTTTTTTTTGTTAAAAGCTATTACCGTCAACCAATACATTTCTATTGTCCTACGCGTATTGCGCATGCGCGAGAAAATACTACATCCGAGAAAATACTACATCCAGTCAATTTTTATAGCATAAAAGGTCTATAATAGTGCATATAATTGCACATTTTAGTTGAAAACCCCATTATAATAGATAGCTTACTGCAAAGATAACACATGAAGTTTCGTTATCAAAACATAATTGTTAAATGACATCGCCTATACATGTGAAAGGCAGAATACGAAAAGCCAATGAACCATATATCGTATACTTTTATGCAAGAATCGCTCTAATGCACACAAAGGTATACTATAGTAAACTAGATTAAAAGAACATATACTTTTTTACATAAACATAATAATACACAATTTAAAAATAGTTTGATTACGAACGTCAATGTTATTATCTTTTTATATTTACACCAATAGACAGTAACTGTTTAATAAATCAAAAAATTTGTGAGATTCAAAAGTATATCAAGGTTATTACATATGCATTTATCTTTTAAATGTAGTTATATTTCTCAAACATAAAATAATACTTACCAAGTTCATAGAGCCTGTTTGGTTATATGTTGTTATACTTCCTTTATAACTTTATTTATAGTATAGCAATGCAAACAGTTAAAAGCCGGGACGTTTATTTATAGTATTGATTCTGTACGCACGTGATTACCTCCCCTTTGCACCTGATAATAATAAGTGTAAAGTACTTATGGAACCATATTATGAAATATTATCAAATCAAGAAAAATCTGATCACCCCCACAAGATTGATAAAGGTATAACAAAAAATCATTCTTCCATCAATATTTAACAGATAAATCAAGCTAAACTGTCTCACTACAAAGAGTTAATACTGTGAGGAATTGTAGGAAATTATTGCGAGGATTTCATGAGTACGGTCATTTTATTTTGTAGGCCAATAATTTCGCAGAGTTTCGCAAATACCATGAAATATGCAAGTACGCATGCGTAAAAATGTTATTTTCGTTTACACACTTGCGGTGTCACATACGACACCGGCGTGGCGATTATCGGAACACCTGACCAGAGTTATTACCTTACTTTTCTTAACCGTGTCAAAAATCAGCGTTCTCATTTACAAACGAGTCTACATTTTGCGTACACTATGTTTAAGGAATCGGTATATATTAAACCATTTTTAACTGGATTACATCTTTTAAAGGGGGCCTCGTTTAGATAATAAGACATTTTTATCAGAATTGTAGTGTTTAAATCTGTATTTAAATTCTAATTATAAAAACGGAAAGTAGAAGATATTGGCAATGACAAATATGCTCAAAGCATGATTTGTCAGCAACAATTTATGTTTATATGTCACAGTTATGTATAATTGAGAAAAAGTATAAAACTGGATGATTAATTTTGAGAGATATCGTACTTAAGTATTATCAGAAGAATATGTAGTAGCCGATTTAACATGTGAATCATAGGGCCTACCTTTGTCTGTTAGATACAGATGTGTGCACACATATTAAACTGTTGTCACAAGGTTGTTGAAATCAGATAACAAAATGAGATTTCAAAATATTGCCTTTGTTTTAAGACTATTTTTTATATAAGCAATGTCTTAAATAGAATGTAATTGGCGCAAGCCTGCATTAGAATGCACATCATTTCAGCTGAACTAACATTTCACTAACAGTTTTATGATCTAACTGCACGTAAGATGAAGGGGACAATTAGATTATGTAATTTTTCATATAATCTGTCAGAGCTAGAGCTACAGCCTATTTTACTTAATTTTAATTTTGTTCATATATTTAAAAAGATTTAAAGCAGTACAACACTTTAATACTATTCTAATGTTTCGTCAAAAGTAAAATTTTATACTAAATGAAGACAATTAAATATGCACTTCCAGTAGTTTTCATTTGAATATAAATAAACAAAAACAAATTCTATTCATCTATCAGTGACATGGTTATATAAATCATTAAAAAATTGGACATACGATAAGAAGGCATATTATATAATCACTTTCATTTAGTATAATAAGAAGAGACTGCTGTCTTTCGTGGAGGGAAGGTGGGCGCATAATTTTGTGATAAAAATATTTTGTAATAAAAATTTCATACTGTCAACAATGCAATACTAAATGCCAAACATCTAATCTTTATTATATTGAAATACACGCAAGAAGATTTTAATGTGTTTGAAAATAAGTAAAAGGTCGAGCAAGCAGAGTTTATTTTGAATCACTTGATGGGATCAGACTTGACTCCAGAATTTTGATTCGGGCAAGTTAGTTGAAGTTACACAGATTACCTATTGAACAGCATTACACACAAAATATCTTAGCTCCAGGCCTTGTACTTTGTAATATGAAACAAGGATATAGGATTATATAGATATTTCTGGATTTGTTTAAGTATGATCAAGTGGTGACCAAAAAGGGGTGTGGCCAGTTTTGACCCCGAAGTCACGATTTTAACAAACATTTAGGATGTCCGCTAGACCATATTACACATTATAAATGATTTTTAAGGTTTTCCTAATACAATGTATAGGACAATAAATAAAATCAAGTGTTACAGGAATCTAGGCCATTTTTAATACCTGATTTTAACAAATTTGGTAAAGTTCCACTGTATAATTTATAATTCCACACACCACATACCTTGCCTCCAGGCCTATAAGCCTATACGAGTGTATGTATGAACAAATGACCCCCTCCTCTCCCCTACATTGGGTAGGACAGATCTTTATCCTATGGCGTATTTTTAAGCCCAAATAAAACATAATAACATTTTATTGTGTACTATTTCTAGTCATAACAAAATCTAAAGGTGCACTGTATATATACCGGCTTCAATAAAAGCCCAATTAAAACTTACTCATTTGTTTGTCTTTATTTATTATGTTTAACAAGCTTCCCAAATTCAAGAACCTCTTTTTATTGGACCACTTGATGGCCATAAAAACAAATGCCCATCCCCCCTCTACGGCAAATTGTAACAAACAATGTAGTGGCCTTCTATACAATGCTTCACTTAAATATCTAAGCTTTAAGTATTGTGGTTTAGGAGAAATCGACCTTTAAATGTTTCCTTTTATGAAACTGCATGTACATGAAATCAAATGATCCCTGGAACACCCGTGTCATGATAAGAGCAATTTTGGTAGACTGCGTGTTTAGGTGAAAATCCAACACGTTTAAAAGTACCGTTCTAAAAATGGTAAATACTATGTTTGAACAAAGTCTTTTTTTCTTAGCGCTTTTTACTAGTACATTGTAATAATAAACATATATATTGTTCCTGATCTCCCTGATAGAAAAAAAGGAGATTCATTGAGACAAATTACAAGAAATGATTAAAAACCCACTATTTAAATACGTGAATTGGAATCAATAATCTCGAAAGACCAGAAAAATATGACAATACAATACTCGTATGTACTGGGTAGTTGTTTAAGCAGCCATACAGCACTTAACATATTTTATTTTAGTAGCATGTTTTCGGGACCTCTCAATATAAATAAAAGAAGCAAAATGGTGGAATTCCAGACTCGAACTTCAAAAATATGTTCCTTATCATCACCCACAGCATAAGTGATAAGATTTTTTTAAATTCTGGTGCTATTTTGATCACTATATTATTAGTAGCTTTCTATTTTATATACCATAATGCATGATTGAATAAATAAGGTAGAAAATGAGATTATCTTGATAGCATTTGATAACTGACATTTTTAGAACTGCATAATAAACAATTTTCGTGAACAATAAATTGGATTTATTAATATACAAATTAACAGTTTATTTTCGTCTTCCTCAATATCTCTTATCCCAAATTATTATTTGTATATTTTTTTATTTGTCTGTTGATATAGTCTTTCCTTTCTGACAGAAAAATATTGTCCATCATTTTCAAAATTAAAACCATTTTTAAGATTTTTGAATAAGTAAGGTGTTCATCTAGAAATCGTCAACGCTATTTGGGGATGGTGGTGGGGGTTTATGTCGTACAAACACTGTACAAGTCTCATGGAGACTTTCCAGCTTTACGTACTGTGGCGAAAGATCTTAGTTGACACTCCGTGCCTTATTACAGGCATGATATTGCACCTGAGTAGAACCATCGAGCTGGATAGCTTTCTAACATGGACAAATAAAAAGTCCTTGTCGGGATTCGAATCTACAGCGTTGTGGGGCAATTATTTTACTTGAATATAATATCTAGAAATAGATAGTAATCATAGTACAATTAGCGTATGTCTAACTCGTAATCACATAGCAAGGGAGATAACACACGGGGAATCGTTAATCACCTTTTTAACTCCCCTTACGGAGCGTGTTTTAAAAATACCGGAACGACCAATTTTTCAATGTTTTCCTTTTTGAAAACTTTTTGTTCATTTGTTACCTCAAGCATGAAAAGAGAATCTTCTTGAATGTTTTTCAATGTACAAGAAAATAGATTTTTTCAAGTAACAAAGGACAATGTATAGCAATAAGAACGTGTAAGGAAATAGCATTCTGCAGTTAAGCATAGCGCAAACATGATACAATATCTGTAAGGTAAACGTGTCAAAGGGATACTCAGGTAAATAAATGACAAGAATATTAAAGTGATCTCATGAACTCAATTCATGCTAAATTGACATTTTTAAAAATTCCAGCATGAATTTCTGTATTTAATTCTATATATTTTGGTTTGGAGCGTAAATATATCTATATGTATATTGAACGAAATTTAGAATCCAACAGAATCACCGAGTAGTTTTAAAACAAGTTATGTGACTTGAACAAATACTGGAAGTTACAATTACCAATATTGTGGATAATGTATGATTGAAACAAGTCTAAGTCATTCATTTGTCATGTTCTTTAACGTTTCCAAAGTTCACTCTGACAAATATTGTAAAATCTTAACTCTGTAGCCTGACCCACGCGGGTCAGGTTAAAAGACCATCATTTAAAACTTTATAATGAGAAAAGATTTGTTCCTGTGAGTGCCTAGTGAATTTACAGATTAATGAATTAAAAATTCAAAACGAAGAAATGGAAATTTTGCCTGTGTTTCCCAATATACTTATAGCTTAAAGCAATTGTTTATTTTATGACAGAGATAAAAGTAAAAATCTATTTTAAATCGGAAAGAAGGTATTGATAATATGTGAGGAAATACGGCACTGAAATAACCAAATATATTTAATTGACTTACATCATCGATAGACATAGGAAAAGAATGTCTCAAAACTTTTTTTCAACCATCAGTTACTGTTATAATTTTTCCAGTTAGATAGTTCATATCAGGTCATTTCGATTCATTGCATTATAATTATTTTCTTTTACATACCCGATGCATTTTTCATTTTTATCCTCTTAAACAATGTGTTAAAAAATAATATTACATATTACATTTGCATTTATCATATTAAGAATTCAGAACTTTAAAAGTGTAGGTAAAAATTAAACAGAAGTCTCGTACTTTAAAGTCTTCAAGGGAGAAGTATGTTGCTTGTTAGAACCTACTACATTGTATTTTTATTTGCTTCAAATTCCAAATTGTCCTTAAAGGTTTTAGAGTAAAATCATACGTCAATAG